GTTATTAAGTAGTTAATATATAGCCAATGACTTTACTGATCAAAGTATCACTACATTTATTTTATATAGCTTTGAATTACTGTTTTAACTTGAAATTTAATGTTGGGGGTACCCTGTGACAGACTAACATCCCATCCAGAGGGGAAAACAACAACAATAACTTTATTTAGGTGTCTAGTCTTCTAGCTAGCCTTAAGCTTACTAATCGGGGACACTGTTAAAATTAAAATATAATATAAGTATAAAAAACGATTCTGGTCTATTTACATTAAATTACACTACATTTTTGCACACTCTTTGTCAAAAGAGTGTGCTCTTTTAAGAGAGTAAAGAAATACTCCTAGTCACTTCATGTAGAAATGAGATAAGTTCTGGCCTGATGGGCCACTTGGCCTGTATGCAGACTTTACCTTACCTTAACTTTATGCAGATACAATATGTTTGTTGCTTTTATTGCTTTTACTAACCTTTAGTAGCATCAGCAAGCACCTGCTCATAGTTTTTCTATAATAAAACAGGTATGAAATATAACAAATTTTGAACAAAGCCAAAACTGATGAGATTGAATTAACTTGGCAAAAAGCTTGACTCTGATTCTCACTTGTGACACATGTATAAGCATAAGCATAAAAGAAGTTTAAATGCACTTATGTACTATTGGGACAGGCAGAAATGAGAATTTATAAGCATTAACATAAGAATATCAAAACCTTGTGTTCTTCTATGCTTACAGTGTGTCACTGGTGTGTCCAGTGGAGACATGGTTGGCATAAGCACAAGCATAAGAGAAAGACTTTCAGCCAATCAGTGAGCACTTTGTGCTTATGCCAAGCATGCCCTCACTGGACAAAACAGCGACATATTAAGCATTTATGCTTACACTAGCACATAGGCTTGTTGTGTTTTATGCTTATGCTTGCATCACAAGTGAGGGCCAAGCTTAAGCCACTGCATGAAGAGAAATGAAGGAGAAAGAGAGAACGAAGAGAAGGGAAAAGAAGAGAAGAGACGAGACAAGACGAGATGACACAAGATGAGACAAGAAGAGTAGAGAACAGAAGAAAAAGAAAGGGAAGAGAAGAGAAGAGAAGAAACGAGACAAGACGCGATGAGATGAGATGAGATGAGATGAGATGAGATGAGACGAGATGAGATGAGATGAGACAAGACGAGAAAAGAAGAGAAGAAAAAGAAAGACAAGACAAGACAAGAGAAAAAATGAGACAGGACACGATGAGATGAGATGAGACGAGGCGAGATGAGATGAGAAAAGACGAGAAGAGGAAAGAAGAGAAGAAAAGAGAAGGAAACAGAAGAGATGGGATGGCAAGGGTGAGAAAAAGAAAGCAAAATTAGGAAGAGACACTGACAAAATTTAAGGGTTAAGTTTGTCACCTGTTGTTCATAAGCTGCTGCCCTATTTTGGTAGTATGTCGCTAGATCAGTCTTGTTGTCCTCAGGACAGAGATTGATGGCTTCTGTATAACATTTAATTGCCTGATCAAATTTTCCACCCTTGAAGTACTTGTTACCCCTTACTTTGGTAGCTGCAGCTTGTGCCGCTGGTGTCTGCAAAGAGAATATAAAAAAAGCCAAACATGATTTGATATTAGTTCCAAGGTCCATGTTTCGATAATTTATTCTTGTTACAGATGATTGTGGGTTTAGCAATTGAAATAAAAATTGAAAATCTAATCTATGTGTCTGTGAAACAAGTGCGTTAATTGATGGACAATATGATCAGTAATCCCGTTTTCAAAATAAATCACAGAACCTTGAACAAATTGAAAGCTTCAAGTCTTGGGAACTCATTCTGCATAATACCTGCAGTTACTTCTCATCTCTATTCTTCCCACCTGGGTTAATAGATATTACAAGTCTGTGCAGTACATGCTAAGTGCCACTGAATTCTCTATCCCATGCCCTATTTCTTATGACATGGTGCATATCATGTAGTGTATGCCAAAGATGTTCAGCATAGTTTTTTTAAAAGCTTTTCAAAGTGTACTGGGGTTCATAATAGTCTGTATACTGTAATGAATGATCCTCGCAGTTATGAACACAACTCAAACAGGTGTGAAATTAAAGTCAGAAAATATATTAAGGCTTGAAATCCAGACTTTTCAGGCTTTAATTTCACAGCTGCTTAAGTTGTGTACCTAACTGTGATGATCATTATATTCTTTACATCTCTCTCTGCAGTTCAAATATATGAGCTTTCATATTTTTACTTGCAGTCAATATTTTGAAATGTGGTTCAGGTAATGTTCCTGTCAGAAACCTGGTATTAAGATGCTCTTCACCCCCCCTCCCCCCCCCCCCTTCACCTATGACTACTTTCTTCATAGGCTCAATTTTTGCCTTTCTCTCGGGTCCAGTCACCAAGCATCCTCCCCTAATAGGGACAGGAGCCCAGACTCCTTTCCTGAACAGCAGCTGGTAAGTGAGCCTATGTTTTCAGTAATTCCTCTTTCAATTCTTGATTTTCTTCCCCTTTCTTGTCAGCCACCCTCCCCCGACCAGGTATAAATAATGAACGGTCCCTGAATAGGGGAGGGGTGCAGTACCCAACAAGGGAGGTGAAGATTTTTTCATGTTGAACTTATTATTATTATTATTTTTTTTCACACTACCAAGTTTTCTTCAGACATGTCATCGTCTTGAGGAGCTTCATTCTCAGGCACTTCACTTTTGCTTTTAGAAGTCTTATCGCTCTCCTTCCCTTTCTCCGCGTCTTGATCCTTGGATTTCCAGTAGTAGAACGCACCTAAAATGCAGGCCGCGGCTACGGGGGCCCCGATGAGGGCCGCAATCTGCCACTTGGTAAGCCCTCCGCCCGATTCTTGCGTACTCATGATCAATTGTTCGTGAAAAGTTGATTAAATAACACTTAGCTTGTTCGACGATCTTTCATTTGCAACTCTAATTCGGAGCCATATTGCATTTTTGAGCACGTGTGTACGGTTGCGCATAAATTTGGAGTTTACCTGCTGGCTTACAAATACTGTGGGCTCTAAATGGCTACCGAGTACCAAAATGGCGACAGAAGACCAGACGTAAATGCAGCTTGCGTATGAAACGTTTTTCGTTATTCTAGATGTCCGGAACACGTTTGACGCGCAAGGTCACAGTAGAAGGCGGCAAAAAGCTGCCAGAGGGAAGTGGACAGAGTTCAGGTTCAAGCTCTGGAACTAGACGGAGTGTTTTTGATCGTCTGGGTCCTGGAACAAGCGAAGTAAGCTTTCATTGAAATTGACATCGTGTCGACTAATTGTTGACTAATTATTAGCATCCATCACTTGCATGCGGTAAAATCTGTTTACTTATGTGGAGATAAATAAAGCATTTAAGGGGTTATAGATTCAGCGCCATGGAAACATTGTACCGAAATTTAAGTAAGCTTCCGTGTAGTGAGCTTAAGTGAAACTTAATTAGGTTTAATGGTTTGTGGCTGTGATATTTACACCGACCGTTGTTGGGAATGCTATAAAATAAACTTAAATGTATCAAAATGATTTAACTTATTTTGCAGTCTATGTATCCCATACACAATAATACAGTACGTAAGCTAATATAATGTTTAGGAGCAGTTTTTTTTTAGAAATTCACGTCAACTTTTGTTTCTCTTCATCATCTACAGAGGTAGATTGAAATGAAAAAGGCTGAGGCTAAGTTTGCTAAGTTTCCAAATTCACCTGAGTTGTCACTTAAGTCTATTTTTGCAATTCTTGTTCTAGCGATCAAGAATTAGGGAGCCTTATCCTCCTGAGAAATGTAGAAACTGGCTGCGGGATGGCAGATGTCAGTTTGGAAGAAACTGTAAATTTCGTCATGGGCCTTATAGCGAACCAAAACAAAGAACAAAGAGTGTGAGGAGTATTGTGAGAAGTGATGTTGACAGGTAAGGCTCATATATACTTGTTAACACACAGCACATTCTTTATTCTTCTATAAACCTGGCCTGTCTACTGGAATTCAAGTGCTGGGTGGGACCACTGCATTGTATCCTGGGCCAAACACTTAAAGCTTAGAGTACTATTATTATCATTATTAGTAGTACCCAAGTGCTTACCACTTGTCAGTCAGAATAAACTGGTTCAGATAATCGCCAAATTATTTAGCGATCACCTAACCAGTTTGCTGTGAATGTCAAAACTAACGGTAAGGATTTTTTTTTTCAAAATTGGCAAACCAACCAAATGAGACAGTGCTTACCATGTTAATATAAGAGACCTGAAAACTGGCGGTGGTTAAGAGGGGGGGAGGGATTGGTAATGGCAAGGGAATACATGCCAACCCTTTTAAGAACAGAAAAAGAGGAGTACATGAGATGTTGAATGTTTATAGTGGTCAGTGCACTTAACTACAACTAGCTAGTTTTCAGGCATGCCATTTAAACTGAAAGAAACAGATACGATGTAGTGTGCAATTTCTGGATGGATTTAACAGTGGCCTAGAGAAGTACTGTTTGATTTGTCTTTTATCTGAAATTTCTGGATTTTTTAGGTAAATAGTTAGACACGGCTCAACGGAAGAGCACATTTTGTATGAATTTGATGCTGTGTATAAATAAAGCTTATGATGATGATGATAATGATAGTTTAGCACCCCCTAGCTCTCTGGTAGTACATAACATTATACAGTGTATCCTATTAGACATTTTAGTGTGTAGAGTGGCTATTGATATATTTTCAGAACTCTTGCAGTGTTTTGTTGAGTCTGTAGGGCCAGTCAAAATGTAAATGACCATTAAAAATTTGCAGTTACACACTGAAATATATAGTAAAAGATTTATGATCCAACCCTTTTTTTGTTCTTTAAATTAAGATGGAATCCACCAGAAGTTCGAGTAACAAGTGGACAAAAACTTTGTACCAAGATTATTTACATCATATTACAAACTTCTGCACAAATGTTCTAAATATCTTCTCCAAAAAAATCATTTCTTAAGCAACACCAGATGTCAAAAACAAATGGTGAACTTCATATGAAGCACTTGAAAGTACTGAAGAAATGAAACTGATGATGAAATTTTGCCTGTATTTGCACAATTTCTCTGAACTTTGAAATTTATTTTTTCTCATTCCCATGGGAAATTGTTCTGGGTGTTATTTCAGACAACTATTTATAACTTTAGCTTTAAGAAAATGTAAAAAGGACTATAAAATACTTAAAATTGTTCTGGTACCAGATTTTTGTCCATTAAAAACTGAAATTGCTCGATTTTCTATCGGATTTCATAAACCTTTCAACTGTGTTTTGTGTTAAGCCTACCCAGCAGAACCAAGAGGACTATAAAGTGTAAATACCTAAATTAAACTTGTTTTGCTTATTATTTGTACTCTATTGGAGAAGTAAATAAATTAGAGACAGTTGATTACTGGTAATGAAAAGGCTAAAAACTGTTTTTCTGGTGTTTATTATGTCGGCCATTCTGCCATTGATGCCACACAAAGATCAGAAGAAAGAGGTATGGTTCGTTTCCTCAGTATGTCTTACATTTCAAAATTGTTGTTTTATTGTATATGGGAAGGCCCATTGGTAGCCCTGTAAATGTTCATCGAAGGTTTTAGGGAATGTACAAACTTTACATTAAACCTACGAGATTGAATATAAATATTTCTTTTTCATTAGGGAGTTAATCTCTGAACCAAACTGCCAAGGAATGTAGTGGAAGGCGAAAGCTTTAACTTAATATTGAAATCCAAGTTAAATTCTGCTTTCAAATCTAAAAGTTTTTAATATGAAAATATAATTTTGTTATTTATTTTAGTCTTTCACTTGTACTTTTCAGGGGACTCCTTTACATAGGGATAACCTTGTGTTTTCCTTTCAAGTCACATTTTAACTTTTTTGACATTTTTTGTAAATCAGTCCAAGTTAAAAGCTTTGATAAAGCTCTTGCATCAAACAGGCATGATATAGATCCACCAAATGATATGTGGAATACATAATAAAGTTATTGATTTGCGGTTGTTTTCTTAGATGATGAGGCCATGGGTGGTCGAACTCGAAGTCTTGACAGCTTAGAACCTGAAGATGATGAAGAAAGAGAACTTCCAATTAAAAAGAAGAGGCAGAGATCTTTAGAAGAATCGTCTGACACTGGGAAGAAGGGTGAGAAGATTAAAAGAAGACAGCAGATGGAGAAAGATTCGTCTGAAGGTGAGAGTGTATAGGGCTGTTGTTAAAGGCCTTAAGCTGTGGGCCCTTCATGTTTCAGGTGAAATTACTTGTAGTTGATGCATTTCACCCACAAAGTTTGTTGCGGATGTGAAGATCGAGGCTACAGGTGACTCAAAACTTATTGACAGCCCTGCACATAATTATAAGGATCAGAAACAAGGTGCATGAATTTACAGTACAGTTTATGGTTCAAGGGGATTTTTCATGCCGAGAAACACAAAACTCAAAGGACTCTCGCATTCTAACTGTAGTACCAGCTGGAAAATCATGACCAAAGCACTTTCATTTATGAATCAAATGTTTGAAACAAAGTGACTTTGTTAACAGGGCTCCCTCGTAGAGCTTCAATAAGCTCAGCGAGTGAACTTTGTCTAATCTCTCTTCACAATATTAGGTAAGGGGAATCGGGAAGATATTCACCACAAGGGTATTTATTTGGTATTAAATTTTTTGGAAACTCTCCCAAGTAGGTTTATAGGAAATATACAAAGACCAGTAAGGGGAATTTTTTATGTTGATACTGAGGCCGCTAACGCAGCACAGGAGTCGTTTATAGCCTTTACCTGCTTCATTAATACATGTACAGTGGAACCCTGTCTTACGGCCACCCCGTTATTACGGCCACCTTGTCACTGCGGCCACTATATTCTGGTCCCAGCAAACGTTCAGTCAGTCATTTTCTCTTTTTTAAAGAACCCCGTTAGTACGGCCAGATTTGAAGCCCATTGGTGACCGGATCAACGGGTTTCCACTGTAGTCTCTTTCGTAGCTGTTTTTAGAATCGTCACGCACCGTAAGTGAACTGAGGTATTGCGTGACATATGAGACTAACGGATGTGAAGGAGTATGCTTCATTAATTAAGGCATTATACTTTTTGTTTTCTTCAACCAGACGAGGAGGATGATGAAGATGAACAGAGAAGGCGAAAGAGGAAAGTCAAAAAGCGGCAACTTAGCGGCGGGGTTGTCATTACCAAGACCCTCAGTCCAGAACAGGAGGAGAAAGACTGGGGAGACGAGGAGTACGAAGAAGAGCGAAGCGATTTGGACTGGGAAGAACGTGGAGAGCTGGACTTCGAACGCCAGCTGAATTTAGAAAAGAGGAGACAAGATCTTCAACGGCAGCTTGCTCTGATGGACGAAGAGGAAGCTGCAAGGGAGAAAGCTGATAGAAAGGTCAAAGAGGTGAAGAAAGAGAAAGATGAAGAACCAAAGCCAGTGGTTCCCGTGGTACATAGCAAGCTGCATCCCGAGAAGTCGTCCGTTTCTCCTGGGGATGAGTTCTCGCCAGTCTCCTCGCAGTCCACGCCCAAGAAAAAGAAGAAAAAAGCAGATGGTGAACCGAAAAAAGCGAAGACGAAACGCAAGTTGTCGCCGACAGCTAAGGAGGTGAAGAAACGGAAAGGTGTCAAGCCAGTTTCTGAGGGCTTGGGGAGTGTGGTTATGGACGAAAGAGTTCGAAAAAAAACAGATTTACCACCAGATAGGACTAAACTGGTAGAAGGTCGTGTGCAGCATGATTTTGAAGTGGGTGGTGAAGAGAAGCCTCGCACTGCTAAGAAAAAACAGTTGAAGACCAAATTGAAGGAAAGTCAAGCACTCAAAAGTTCCGGGGATGCTTATTCAAGTCCCGCGGGTCCCTCGGGTATTGGACCCCAAGGAACTCCACCCAGGGAGGAAATCCCGCGTGATAAGAGGTCGTATACTCCTGAAGAACAAAGACCTCCCACGGAAAAGATACGCCGAAGAACAGCTTTATCCTCTCCCGAAGGTTCCGATTCCCCGGCTCTTCGTCATGCGTCTGAGAGCAGGACTCGTAGGGTCACAGATCCCACCGAGGAAGGAAGTCCACGGAAACCTGTCCGTGAGGTTCATACTGCCGGGCCACCAGGGGAGGCGGAATATAAAACAAAAGCGAAAGGGCACGAGAGGCGTTACAAATCAGAAGGGTCGCCAAATACTCCGGAGCATGGCCGAAGGGAAGTGGTGAAAGATACACGGCATGTCGAGGAAGGAAGATCTGACAGGAGGAAGAAAGTTATAGAGGAAGATCCACCACGCAGTCCATCTCCCGAGGATATCCCCGGGCGGGGCCCACTTTCACCACCCGGGGAACAGCGGAGGCAAAGGACCCCGCCACCACCGAGGGGGGATAGGCGAGGACCACAGACCCCACCAGGTGAACCTGATTTTGATAATGATTTACCGAAGCAGACGGCAAGCGATCGAGGCCCGCTCCACCGTCGAGGACCATACACTCCCCCACCCCCAACGACTGCCCCTGGGAGGATTAGAGGGGACAAAACTCGCGGGGAATTGTACGAGGGGAGATCTGAGGCGGTGCCGTATCGCGATGAGGGTGGTCCCCCGCGGAGTAAAGAGCGAAATGAACGTGAAAGTCGATATTCAAAACAGAGGGGTGAAGAGAGTGTAGATGACTTGTCACGAGGTGGCCGAGGACATCCTCAGTTAGACGAAGGCTACCCGAGGAGCCGAGCTCGAGACGAAGAACTTGCAAGAGGACGACATCGCGAGGACCGCCAAGAAGACTATCATCAGCGAAGTCGCCCCAAAGACGAGCGAGTTGATGAGTTTTACCGAATGCGAGATCGTGAACCAGAACGAAGTGATGACCATCACCGAAGCCGAACCGAAGAGCTCCGAGGCGACGATCTCCTTCGGAGAAAACCAGACGGAGATGATGAGTATCTTCGGCGAAGAGATGAGCGGGAAGACGACCATTTACGGGTGCGGAATCGGGAGCCAGACAAAGATGACGAACGTTCCCGACGAAGAGACGAGCGAAACGACGAACATCAACGAGGCCGCGTTCGTGAAGAGCACGAGGATGATATGCAGAGGTCCCGCGGCGGACGTGATTTTCCCAGGCGTCCGTTTGAGGGAGGAGACGAAAGACATTGGGAAGGACGCGGAGAGAGGGACACCAGAGAAGTGCAGTTTGGCGACCGGGACAGACGGCGGCCTGATCTTCCCCGACAGGACATGGTAGACAAGTAAGTGATTTTACTATCTAAGATAGGATGAAGGAAGGGTAAGAGAGTTGATCCCCCATGGGCCTTGTTCGTCACGTAATTCCTGTCATATTGTTTATTAATCACTTGCGGCTTCAGAAATCCTAGGGGGTATAAAAATAGGCCACCATGTGACGTGAATTTTGCCTAAGTTGACAATCCGGGTGGCTAAACACGCATTTTCATCCGAAACATGTTCGAAACATCCGTGGCAAATTTATCCTCGACAGGACTGAATACAATATCTTAAACGAAATTGAAAGAAACCTCCTTCAACTCTCGTGGGCTATTGTGTATTTGAAGTCTGCGCAAATTTTCATTTGTTGCTTTTAGCCGTGGACGAGACAGACCTGGTGAAAGGCCACGTGATAGGGAAGGTCGTCATCCCCCCTCCGGACCTGACTATCACCGACGGACGCCTCCAGTCCCCCACGGATCCCGACGATCACCTCCACCCCATGGACCCCCGAGGGCTCCACATCGCTTCGACGAGCGAAGACGTAGTTTGTCTCCAGGAGGTCGCAGGGAAGAAAGTTATCGCCAGGGTCCTCCTAGAGACCAGGGGGGTTATGGCATAGGACGAGAGCCAATGCGTGGAAGGGGTGGGTACCCGGCGCCTTTTGATAACCGGAACCGACCCATGGAGAGTCGACGAAGAAACTCACCTCCTCCTAGACAGTACGTGGAACGCGGCAGAGGTGCACCTCGAGGGAGGGGAAGTAGAGGTAGGTGGACCTTTATAACTAGGTTTTTGTTTGTTTGTTTGCTTGTTTGTTTGTTTTGTTTGTTTGTTTTTGTCTCTTTCCTCGTGCGCAATGTGTTTCCCATTCGAAAATCGCTCAAGAACCAATCAGAGGAGACATCTGAGTAGAATATTTCAGACCGGGTCACTTAGTCTGGTGTAGTCGTTTGATCTCTTGTCTTTCTTTCCGATTTTAGCAACTCAGAGATCTTTTTTTTTTTTTTACCAGGAGGTTACGGCACAGTTATTGAGAAGACAACTTGCCTGTCTTGCCTTAAGCTTGCGAGCAGTGTGCGTTAAAAAAGCTACTTCAAATTAACCTGACAAATTATAAATACAAATTTGGTAATGGCCGTAGATCTTCATTGATACGATATGTTGATCATTTTTTACATGGTTTTGCCATGAATTTTCTGCGGGACAGTTTTTTTTTTGTCTGTGCTTATCGCGACTTTCCACATGATATTCCAGATTTGCCTTTTGTTCACAGTCACGAGTTGTGTTGGATTTGAGTTTCATCTGAGGTCATATATCTGACGCCATGTGCATGTGATGGACAATTGACCCTTGCTGGTTGCTCTAGTTTTGTTGTTACACTCTGCTGACAAACCCCAACCAGGTCAACACAGNACTTTCATCTACTACCGCAGTTCAAATATGAATTATTTCATATATACTTCACACAGCTGTCCACGGTTGCAATTCTTGGCTTTCAGTTTGGACTCTATCATGTTGTTGTCGCGTTCAGTTTTCTACGTAGTAATCAGCCTTGCTTTATTGTTATTATATAGTTATAAACCCTTTTTCAGGAGGAGACTAGTCAGTTAACTTAACCGCTCATCCACTCCGCCTTCGTTCCTTTGATTACACTTAAAACGAATGATATTTCATTGGTTACAGGTGGCCGAGGCTTCCCCGACAGGATTCGACCGCCAGGGGACCGGTATCAAGATTCGCCTCGCGACAGAGGAGCGCCATGGGATCTGGAGCGCCGTCGTGAAAGAGATCATCCCCGTGATTCACGTGACCGGAGCCGGCCGCATGAGGAGCCACGTGAGAAAGACAGACGTCCGAGAGGAGAGTTGTCTCCAGGCCGAGGGCCGAGGCACTGGGAAGACAGAAGAGGCGGTAAGTGTTTGTATCAATGCTGCTGTTCTGTAACCACTCAGAAAATAGTCCGAATATCTGCGAGGAAATCGAAGGTTGGCCCGTCCGCCTGTAGTATAAAAGTTTTCGCCATGTCGCTTTATTAGGGAGCTCGAGTAAACCCAACCAATGAACAAATAGGTCATTTTCAAGTTACTTTGTGCCTCTGTTTCAAAACGAGTCCGTGCAAAACCTTTCATATGAAAATGAGTTTGATCTGCATGAAAATGAACCTGTAGACGGAACACGCTTTCATATAAATGGTTTCGCCTAGACTTTCTGTAAAGTTCTTCGTCTTGTTTATTTAGTAGCATGAAGAGACCAGGAGTATTTCTACTCCCCCTGGATGGGATGCTAGTCCATCACAGTGTTGCCACCTGCATTAAATTCGCCGGTACCCATTTATACACCTGGGTGGAGAGAGACAGTGTGAGAGTAAAGTGTCTTGCCCAAGAACACAACACAGTGTCCCCAGCCAGGACTCGAACCCGGACCGCTCGATCCGGAGTCAAGCACACTAACTGGGGTGTTTTCCTTAAAATCAAAGTATTCTCATGCTTTTTCCTCTCCAGGGAGCCCGGGGAGAGTTGGTAGTCCACCACGCGACCGCCGGGCGCATGAGCAGGAGAAGATACCGCGCGAGCTAGAGGAAGAGCGTAGGCGCCGGTCAGATGAGGAAGAGGAAGAATGGGAATATGAAGAAGACATGGGAGAAGAGAAGGATAAGAACACACGACAAGGAGAAAGGTGTGATAACATTTACACTTTGATCCGTGTATGATTTAGAGCTGCTTAGTGTATAAATAGTAAATTATTAGCTTGTGTCTCACGATGAAGTCACGTGACGGCGTCACGTGAGATGTTGATGGCGACGTTTGCACTGCTTGCTGCTTGTCCTAATAGCCGTTTAGGACGACTTGTCACAATTTCAGCTCGTGTAACTGTTTTCTTAAAACGTGCAATCTCTTGATTTGTCGTGTAGTCATTCTGTAGGCTACGTAAAAAGAGATCTCGACGTTTCACGGGCTTTATTTTATGAAATAACTTACTGAAAAAAACACCTGCCACTTTCTTTTCACATAGCGCTAGTTTGATTAAAACACGTGCAAAATCTGGGAGTATGCATGTAAACCCTTGGTTTTCGAACTCTTCCGAACGTACCATACCCCGGTTTTTTAGATCAAGCCATGTAAACACGGGTTTCATTAGGTTTGAAGAGGACTTTACCTTACATGCCTTCCCTTCACCATGTTCTCTATTTCTCGATTAATAGAAAACGACCGAGAGAAACTGCTTCTTCTGCTTCAACAATCGAGTCCCCTGTAGGCGGAAAGAGGCGTCGTAGTGGCGAAACACCGGAAGTGGAAGAAGCGCCTATCAAAGACGCGCCTGAAGGTGGNTCTTTACTTCTTAAGTGCTTCAACCACTGCTTCCCGATTGGCCAAGCATCGAGAAAACCAGCATAAATATGTCAATGGTTGATTCGACCTTTGTCAATTGCAAATATAACGAGAAACTACCTTGATGAACCACGAAATTCTCGATACAAGCAGTGAAACAAAAAGTAAATTTCTATGGCAGTAGAGATAAAGACGACCTGAAAAAGGTTAATATTGAAATAGCCAAGTCATTTATCTCCTTTTTTCTTCTCTCTGATAGGTTGGTCTTTTCCAGACCCCGTCTTCGACCCCGGTCGACAACGAACTTTACTCGATGAGCGTGACCTTGTACAAACACGAACACCCTTCCACGGACTCCTCAGTGACGAAATTAATCCCCTCTAGGGTGGGGACAGTTCTCACCACAGTGAATTCCTAAAATCAGTCCTCTTACTTCTTAGTCTCTTGACGTTAGGTCGTGCATTAGTGTATTTTTTAAACCATTAAAGATAGCTCAGCTGCAACCAAACAATTGATTCTTTTTTTGATGTGCAAAATATCGTCTCTCGTTTCTTGATATAAGTAATATATGGGTGATGGCTGGATATTGGCCAAGTTATTTACTCGCTCATCGGCAGGACTGGGTACGAGTCTGACTGCGATCGTTATGTTACGTTCTTGAGAAAAAACGTTTAACTACCAAACAAGCTAGTGTGCGCTCTCTTTGACTCGCGTGTTTCCAAGCCGCAAAATCCCAAACAAGAGAAAGATAAGATGCTTCTCTTCACCCAAGAAAACAAAGAGGTACGGGGCGCGATTTTTTAGACCATTTAGCTTGAGCTTCGTGTAAGCAACATGTCGGCTCCACTAGCGTTCTCATAGCGCACCTAGCCCCCCTCTCAATATGCGCTCTTAACGACCCCTTTCTGACGTCATTTATTTATTTATTTATTTATTTATTTATTTATTATTTTATCATTATCATTATTATTACTATTATTCTTACTTTGAAGGGGTGGTAGGTGGTGTGCTCAAAGTGTCAAACGATTATTACCCCCTTTAAGAATTAACATCCCATATTATTTGGCTTGCGTTTGTCGCCGATTTAACGCGCGCTCTGATTGGCTAATTCGAGGAAATTATTCTCCCGTAATATCGCTGATCACTGGACTGCAAAACCAAGGCAAAAAGCCATATAATAAACAAATCATAAACTTCGAATGTTAGGTCTTTACGGGAAAATCTCAAACCTCGGCCTTAGTGTATTGACCTCGCTAACGGTAACCTCTCGGTTTGAGAATTTCCCTTAAAGACCTCACTCTTGGTCGATAAATAGATAAAAAACAAAATAACTTACAGAGCTTCAGGTTTGGATAATGCACTCTTTCCAGATTGGATACATTGTTGCGTCATAAACGGGAAATAATGCGTACATAGAGTAAAAGGTAGGTTAACTCTGCATACGAGCCAAGCGGCCAATCAGGTCGGAGGTTATCCTGGTTTCTGTAGCATGAAGAGATTTGGAGTATTTCTTCTCCCCCTGGATGGGATGCTAGTCCATCGCAGGGTTACCCCTAGCATTTAATTCACCGGTACCTATTTATACACCTGGGTGGAGAGAGGCACTGTGAGAGTAAAGTGTCTTGCCCAGGAACAGAACGCAATGTCCCCTGCCAGAGGGCTCGAACCTGGACCGCTCGATCCGGAAATGAGCGTACTAACCATGAGGCTAAATGAGGTACTATAACAAGTAAGATAGCAAAACATTCCCTGATAACTTTTACTAAAGGTCACGAAGTTGGACCATCACCGCTTCATTACTGTTCAGCTGGGTACTGACAGACTCCTGACGGTAGGGTTATTGGGCGGCCTGGGCCTGAATGAGCCAACAGTGCAGCAGCGGTTAAGTGCATCGACAGAAATTTTCGCGCGTTCAAACGACTCCAGGATCGGACTCATAACACAACGAAAAGCGCAAAACTATGCCACGAAATACGCAGATTGACAAGAAAACGCACAAAGAAGTGACCCAATGGATACTTGTTGCTCCAGGTACGTGGTTTACATGTATTCTAGAAAAAAAACAATAGAGGTCGTATGGAAGTAGCGATCGATTGAAGCTTAACTTTACATGTAGCTTCTGATCGATCGAATCGACTTTCCAGAGTATAGAACGTTTTCTTGACATTTTATGGAGATAAGAGTTCATAAGCTTACGATTTTTATTAATCAGATCACTGTACTTAAGCTTAAATCTCAGTTTATTCTTCTTATTTTTACCAAACGTACAGAAAGTGCTGTTTGTGCCCCAGAGTGTGGTGAAGCAGAACCTGTGTTCATCAAGATTCCACATCCAAGAACAGGTACTGTACACATTGAGCTTAAATAATCATAACAATTACAATTTCCTCAAACGTGATTGGTGCATAAGCTGCTCTATTTTGCACTAATTAATCTGTAAAGTTGTAATCGGACCGTTGGCTGTGATAAGACACCTGTAATCAGACAGTTACACGAACCAATTGTTTTAAGTCCTTTCCTTGAAATCCACCAATCACAATGTTGATTACAACCACTATAGCAACTTATCCAAATGAGAGACTTTGAGGAGGACTTTTGAGGAGGTTTATCTCCAGTGGCTGTTTTCAAAGAAACTTAAAGCCATGTTTCAAGCAATTCTCCACAATTTAATTGCAACATTTAAAACTGACTAATGAAAGCAATTTTTCAAATGAAACTTTCTTTTTTGGGAAATTGTAATGGTTATGATTAATTGGTAACAAGACACCGTGTCGTCCAATTCTGTCTGTAATCAGACTTGTTATCTAACAAATCTGACTCCCGCTTCACAGCCATCCGATTTTGTTAATCATTTATATGATTAGAGACCGAAATGTTGGACTCCACTTAGTCCTATTACCGTTATTAATCATATCTACAACACAATTCTTGATCGTGATTGTTACATAATCAGCACGCAATCACCTGGGTGTCCATTTACAGGTATCCTATCACAAATCTTTTTAATTGGATACCTATGCCATTCGTATGTCAATTACACACACTTTAATTGCTTCATGTTTAAGACAGGGTTTGAAAAGTGTTCATCCAAAATGTGCTGTAGGTTCTGTTGAAAAAAAAAACAATTTATAAAGCAACATGTTTAAAACAAACTAATTAGTTAACTAACTAATTAAAGTAGGGAAAAACGATTTTGTAATGTAGCATTGAAGCAAAAAATAACATGAGTAAGTAAGGATGAATATTAATATGATATTATAGTATTTATCCCTATGCATTCATTTATTATAGATGTTAACACCATATATATGGAGCTAAGGAACCATTTCCATCAGATCTAGTCACTTGGTTGTCGCATAGTAAATAAATAAATAAATAAATAAGTAAATAAATAAATGCTTTTAGTTGTTATTTTAATGAGGGACTATTTCTGCAGTTCACAACAATACTTGTCTGTGATTGGTCACTTTCAGGTAAGGAACATCAATTTTTGCTATCCCACAATGGAGAGAAGATCTTTGAAGTTTTGCAATTTAGGGAGGAAACTAGATCATGGTTTGTGGAGGATTCTGTTCAAAAAGGTACTGAATGTGAAGTGCACTGTGTGTTTCTAGATAAGAGTACTTGTAAACATGGTTGTGAGGTTTAAGGTTCACATGTATTGTTGAGAAATATTTTAGAAAAGCAATAGTAAGAGTACTTTTTCTGTGTTTACATTGCATCATCTAAACACTTAAGGGTTGGGCAAATTCTTGAAAGTTATTGAAACCCTCGACTGTGTCTCCGGATCTCAAGATTCTGAGTTTGGGTGCAAAACTGTTCAAGATGGCAAGGTCTACCACATTTATTTACTTGCCACCTCTTCTAGGGTGTCTGAATTAGGCAGACCTATGACAACAGTATCTATGCCTGTGACAATTTTTTTAAAATACAGCTGCCAGTTTTCAGGTCAGGTCACTGGCCTGGCTTTAACAATATTGTACAACTCTGCAAATTAATTAAACAATACAATGTATATTTGAATCTCTAGGACTAGGTAATTTGTCATCAGCTAGCATACATGTATGGGTACATGATTGTATGAATTTACGTTTTATGTTCAAAGCTTGTGTTTTACTGGAAAAGTTTCTTTTCGTTGTTAGATGGAGGTCTCTACGTCATAACACCTGTGGACCCATTGTTCCTCATCTTACCGTATCTCACGAAGTTTTCTCAAAAGGTACCTAAGCTTCCTTTTGATTGTACGTACATGTATGTTTATATGTACATTTGACTAGTTTTAGTACAGTACTTTATGGTCTGCTTTAAAGCTCTTAATAACTAGCAGTCTATGAAGCTGGTGTTTATCTCTGGTTCAGATACATATACAATGAAGTGACCACAATGAAGTATTTCTAATTCTCCCCTTCCACCCACCCCTGCCCCTTCATGTGATGCTAGTCCATCACAGGTCCTGCTCAGAGTTACCTATTAATTACCGGTAGTTTATCCTTTGTTTAGGTAACAAGCTTGTTTGGTCAAGATGGCTGGATGTTGCCTTNTAGCTGCTTCATGCTACAGAAACCGGGATAAGCTTTGGCAGCTGTAAGCCAGTGGGCGTCAAGGCTTCACTTATTTTCTTCAACAAACCAAGGAAAAAAGAGGGACTGCACCAGACTACCTTTCTGTGCAGTTCCAGAAAATATCAATACACCACCCCCCTGCAGCAGGGATCAGAATTTCCTGAAGGACAGGGGGTTCTACAAGACCAACAACTTAAAGAAACATGTGAAGCTGAGGGGCAGGGGTCTTAGAAAAAATCTCTTCTGTGGGGGAAGTATGGATATTTTCTGGAACTACACAATACTGTTGCCAAAGAATTCTGTGTGGTGTAAGGAAACTTATCTTTTGGCATAATTGAAATATGCTCTATACCTCAATTTGAAAGTGGAAGTGGATTTGAAAGTTTCATGTCATGAAGTTTGTAAAAAAAATGATGCGAAACTGCCATTGCTCTTTCTTTGGAAAATAAATTATTGAAACATTTTCCATCAAACACCAAATTCAATAATTGTATAATAATTTAGTGTATACTATTCTGGGCTGTCTCATCATTAGGTTGAGCAGACTGCTGATAGTGTATCTTCAAGTGGCGTCCATGTGTCTAAAGGTTCCCAGAGTGCCACCTTTGTGCGCAGTAAACGACACACAGAGGCAACTAGAGGTTGGTTTTTGTGGAATAAACTGATTGAGCCTTAAGTGACAATAAAGATTTTCCCTAATGTAACAATGCAGTGCTTTTTAATGAATAAGAATTGAAGTCTGCTGTCATCTAATTGAGATGAATTGATCGAAAGGAGTAGGGGACATAGTTCCTGGTGTGGTGGTCTATCTCTCATCTGATGGTTAAATGCTCAGAGATATTAGGTGCATAAGCTACTCTGAAATCCGAGGGTAAATAAAGTACAGTAATGTATGTATGTATGTATAATTGGGAGATCAACACCTGTCAGTGAGCAATTAATGAATCAAGGGTGGCCCATAACAACTTCCTCCAAAGTGCTAATTTTTGTTTACCGCTGCCCTTATATCTGACATAGATTCACAATAGGATGCCTGCCAGAGCTCTGGGGCTGCTGCATTTTATTGAAGGCATTGACAATGGGTGGGTTCACAATAGAACCTTAAGTCAAACTTAAGTCAGGTTCCTTTCATGTCAGACTTGAGAGAAAATGATGGAGACACATTTTCAAGTCTCTATTATGAAACAATTTTGTGATGGGTGGAAGAGAGTAATTTCTGATAGCAGAACTCATTTGTAAGATAGTGTGTGATTGATGTACCCGTCAAAGCTCAGCTCAACCTGAGTGGTCTAAAAAAGTTCAAGTTCTAGACAAGTGTGAACTGGACCCAATATTAGTCGCTGTGAAGTGAAGTGTTTCTCTATCTGTTTGTCTATAGAGCTCAGTCAGTCAGTCAGTCAGTCAGTAAGTCAGGCAGTCAGTCAGGCAGTCAGGCAAACAGTCAGTCAGTTTTAACTGTGCAGTTTGTTTCATTTGTTGCCGCTGTTATCATTTTCAGCGGACTATGTGAGATATGCCTTTGGTTTGGTGTCTGATTACCTATCGTCACAATGGAGTGAAAGTGTCAAGGAATCTTTAAGGTAAAAATACAAACCTTGGCAGTGAATATATTTTATTCTAATCTGGACGTACAAGTGCCTCAAGGATCGCCCGCAGAATCTGAAGATCTGTTGGAAGGCGAGAGACCATCCAAAGCCGAGAAAAAGCACAAGAAGGAGAAAGGAAAATTCAAAGAAAAAGTCGCGAAAAAGAAGAAGAAAGCTACCATAACGACGACCGAAGAACCCGAGGTTGCTACGGAATTGGCCGAAGAACAAACAAACGTGACCGAAGAGAGTGGCGCGACTTCGTCAGAAAATAATCTCGGGGAGGTGGCGCAACCGTCAGAAGACGAACCTGTTTCTAAGGTGGCAAAGAAACGAAGGCATCCAACAGCTCCCGAAGGCGAGGAAGGGAAGGTGAAGGTAGGGGATAAACCACCGAAGAAAAAGAAGAAAAAGAAACATCAACCTGAGGTTGTCGTTCAGCCCTGGGCTGACCTCGAAGGCGAGGACGAAGAGACAGTTGTTGACAAGTCCGAAACTAACGATCGTCCGGGCAGCGAAAACGACGAGCAGCTCGCTCAAGCGAAAGAAAACGAAGACCAGAAATCATCTGACACAGTGACAGATGAAAAGGACGAAACGCAGGATTCTTCAAGAGTCGAGGAGCCACAAGCGATGTTTAGCGATTGGAGCGACGATAGCCCGATCGGAGACGACAACTGGTCGGACATTAACGAACCGGAGATTTCCGAGAAGCCGAAGACCGACGACAAAGAGGGCGAGACTGTAGCAGCGTCGCCTGTACCTAATGCAGCGCCAGCGTACGACGATGTTTACGATCCAATTAGCGACGACGAACTTGACGCGATGTTAGGGGACGAGGAGGAGGAGGGTGGGGCAATTGTTTCTGATACCAAAGGCTCTGCCAGTGCACCCATGGCAGTTGAAGAGGTCGACTGGAGCGCGTTAGTGTCAGCACAAAGCACTTTGGAGAGAACAGGTACTTAACATCTGTCTTATTATTCATTCCTTTGAGTCACAGAACGGCGAGAAACTGGGTATCTTATGAGTAGATAGAAAATGTATCTGCGGGGTTGAAAATTGAAACGTGTCCTGATTCTCAGTTAGAAATTTGAACAATGAAACGAAGGCTACTGAGGAAAAAAGCTATTGGTAGAAACTAGGGAAGCAGAGGAACTGCATACTGAACACATCAGGAACGTTTCAGTCTATTCACTCACTCGAGTCGCTTTCTGGCTTCATGTCAAAATGATTTCAGTTACAAACCGTTCGTATAAAATGACTTTCGAAGACATGATTGATCATCGCAGTTATTGTAATTATATACACAACTTACGCAGCTTGGAAATTAAAGCCCAGCGGCGCTACCCTTTGGAACAGCTTACCCTGTAACACTAGAGAGTCTGGTTCATTAAACAAATTGAAACGCCTTCTCTACCATAATTTTTAAACACGGCATTCGTGGAAACCAGGATTTTTCTAAAGTGGCATATTAATGTCAGTTAACATAACGTTAGGATTTGGATTTTTAGTCATTATTATGTAATATTTTCTACCTGATGTTTTTACCGTGTATAAATAATGATTAAAGATTAAAGATTAGAAAAATTGAGGTATGAACGGGATTTAAACCCATTACCTCTGCGATACCTGTGCAGTGCTCTACCAACTGAGCTATCAAGCCAACTGGGAGGTGGTCACGTTGTGAATTATAGATGCCCCCTTGGTACATGATTGACGTCGTCTGTCTTGACTCTATTTTTAATTTACAGGAGAAGAGCCTGGGTCTCACCTCAAACGGTTTACGCCTGGTCACGTGTTCTCTCGCATCGGGATCTCTTCTTCCCTTGCTGGTCCGCGGCTTACCAAGCTGGTGCAACAAGCATGCGCGCAGGTGGCGAAGGACAAACCCTCTGGGGTAGAGACAGTAGATTCACGTGACGTTGAGGATGCGGCGGATTCGCAAGTTATCGCTAGCGTCGGTGCACTGATGGCAGGCGCGGCTGCAAAAAGGCGGGAAAGGGAAATGTTGTTTTCGAGCGTGGGGCCATGTAGGCGGGCGCTTTGTGCCCGTAGAGATCTGGCGATGAGAAAGCGGCTTAGGAGGCTGACGGGAAAGGTATGTGTTGGTTTTATCATTTCAT